TTGGCTTAGAGTCTCCGTCTTTTAATTCCCAAAACACATCAACACAGCAAAGACAAATAATTCAGTAAACACTGGAGCCAGTGAAGCCTGGGATGCAATTTGGTCTGCTTCATTTAGGTATGAATGGATGAGTTAATACCTCCTCACAAGGGGGTATTATAAAAAAGGGGCCCACTGACAAGGGGGCTTTATAAAAAGCTGCCAGCCTAGCATTTAAAACTGATGTTGTTAACTTTCTTAACTTTCTTGAGCTAGTTGACTGAGAATGATAAACAATTCCAGGAGGTTATTGCAGTCCTCACGTCTGTATCTAGGTGGGGTGAACCATTCTTGGAGGTACCTCTCTTTCTCCATTAACTATAGCAGTAGCCTAGGTGACAGGTTGAGACATGGTTCCTGTCTTTGAGGTGGCTAGTGTTAGCAGTGGAATTTTACACATAAATTTCCCCCATTCAGGCATGTAGGTCTGACAGGCTATCTGTGGAGGGCCTTCGGTGTTCTCTCTTTCCACCCATCTTTTGCATAGACAAGGCTTTGGGTGTGGTTTGGGGCATGGTGTTGTTTGGACCATAGGTCTGAGTGGGATGTCTAAAGAGCTGGTCTGGCTTTGTGGATTTGTGTTATGTGGTTGCTTGAATTCCCAACTGAATTGTTCCCAGATGAAGGAACCCTCAGGTAAAAAGGAAATTAGGGTGCAGTCCAGCTGCAGCACTCCTGTCTTTCCATTCCTGATCTCTCCTTAGTAACATAGCTTCTGTGATAACAAATAAAGATTGAGCTTTTCCTCTGGTAGAGGGAAGCACTTACATGATCTCTTGCTACCCAGTTTTCTTTCCATTACATGCATAGAGTCTGTATGAGCCCAACTCTTCTGTCAGACTGGGCTGAAATTGGCTAAAAGATTCAAAAAAATTGTTAGGCAAGTACAGACAGTGTCGTTAGCCCTCTCCCCTTAGGGAGCAAGACTTAAATGATGTGATCTTAGCAGAGGTTGGCTGACCTCAGTGAATTTGTGTTAAAAGGGTAGTGCAGACACGCCTGTGTATTAATAAGAAATAATAGCTTGTGTTGAACCTAGACTGAAGCTTTGTTTTCACTGCTGTTTTAGCCCAAATGGCATCATGGGTTTGGCAGTGTAGATGGATCCCTAGTCGTGTTCCTTAACAAAATGTTGTCTGTTCTTTGATCTTCAGCTTCAGTGAGCTGAACTTCAGTGATTCAGCACGACAGGAGACCTGAAACATCTTCTTTTCTACCACCACCTAATTTTTAAAACCTAGTCATTTAATTAAGACAAGTTCTAGATCAGAATGTTTTCAAATCCACACAATATTCCAGTAACTGAATTTGTACAATTACTTATTTTAATGCAGTGATTGTTACCTTTCAGAATCAAATGTGAGGTTATAATAACAAGTAAGCATATAGGCATCTAGATGTCCTTGCTCAGTCAAAACTCTTATTGATTTCTCTGACTTTGCAAAACCATCTTCTTGTTCCCTTCCAGATTGTGGTTTTTTTTTCTCCTTGTTGAAGGCTAGATAAATAAAGGTGCTAGCTGGCCGAAGATGGGCATCCATCCTTGTTGAAGAATATTAACCAAATCAATTTTTTTTTCACAAAAAGAAAATCAATTGCTGCATTAGCAAGAGAGAAGATAAAACATTATTCTGTTTTAACTCCCAGGAGCCTGAGGAGTGGACTCTACCTTTCAGAAATAGAGAGATAAAAAAGATCTAAAGTTCAGATCTAAATGTGGATCAGAACTTCTCCAGGGCATGTGGGGACTGTGACTCATTTCTAAACTAGACGTTCATTTAAAGAGCAGTCATATAAAAATTGACCCTCCTGCCAGAGCTCTGGTGAACATGGGCAGATCAGACTCTTTAAATGCCATTTTGTCCTCCAAAAGCAATAAGGTGGGGTGGTGACAATGCAAGTTGTGTTTCTGAATTCATTACCTGATGAATTTTCAGCTGGTCCTGAACGTAGGATGTTGCTGTAAACACAGGAGAAGGAACCTGTGTTTTTCTACAGGGCCTGTCACTTCTGTCAGCTTTCCATGGTGAAACAGGAGTCAGTTTTTATACTCTCTCTGTTAGACTAGCAAGCTCATGGGCAGATAGAAACATTCTTTTAAATGGGAAACATTTCCAGTCACTTGTCAGGATCTCTGAAGAGTTAATTCTGGTTCTGCGGCTGGTTTGATGTGTGGTATTTAGTCAACCATCAGACCTTTAAGCTGAGTGTTTTAATAGGATTTAGTTACAAAATGGAGTGAAAGAATATTAAAAGTGTTGTCCAACTTTGCTTCTGAATGGGAACGTCCAGACTGGAGCTGTTTTATAACAGATATCCTACCTCCTTGGGCAGCTGTGGCAAATAATTAATGTTTGCATACTGCTTTGAACATGCAGACTGTAATGACAGTATTAATAGTAAAACTATTAAATATTGGGATTCTATAATAGTATCCTTCCATTCCATAGAATCATCAGGTTTTATGATGTGTTTAAAAGTAAAATTGCTGTGAGGAAGGACTGCCATTTAAATTTAAGATCAAATACTTCAGAAAGGATTAGATCATGTGCCTGAGAATCCCCCCTGAGCTGCTTCTCCTGCCTGCAGGCTGGTTTTCTGCATCATGAATGATGCCGTGTTTGTTGGTGAGTAGAAGGCCTTGTGCAGGTGCAGAGGGCTTTAGGGACACCACTGAGCCAAGATGTTGCATAAGGTGCATGGGCTTGCATCAGAGCATGCATAAAATCCTTCAGTATGGCACTGTGAAAAAACTTAGGGGATATGACAAGCAGTAATGGTGAGGGTTATGAAACATAACTTATGGGCAGGTTATTCCACAGCTTCCCTCCTCAGGCCTTATACAGGCACACATGCATCTCTGAAGTACCAACTTTGACAAATGTTGGACTCAGCCAGCAGCTCATTTGCCTTAATATGGCATTTGCTTTTAGTAATGAAGTAAAATCCCTAGCTGCAGAACCCAACTGGAATGATCAAATTCTGTGTACTCATTACTGCAAGCCCAGAATGCCATCACTGCTGTTTCAGCTACAGGTGAACTTGGAGGCATCTGTGTCTGAGCTTGTTGTTTGGACTTCCCTTATATTCATTGCAAAGCAATAGGCACTGCTAGGCTGGAATTCATTACATCCTCATGTACATCCCTCCACTTGCATAGATGAACTGCCACCTGAAAGTGCATTTTTCTCTGACACGAGTATGGAGGGAAGCAGAGGAATTAGCTCAAAAGTAGCTGCCTACATTTTAGAGGCATAAAGCTTAGTAAGATGAATCCTACCCTCTTAGTCTTTGTTTTTCATTCTGGCACATCTCTTTATATTTACCTTTGATTCACAACACAGACTTCTTAAGGAAGAAAAATATGCCTTTTTGGTTTTTTTTTTAGAAAATAACTGATGGGTTTTTGTGGAAAAATAAAACTTGTGCATCAAGCTGCATCAACTGTTTCAATGAAAAGAAATTAGTAAGACTGTATTTTCATGTTGGAACAGAAAGGCAATATTAGGGGGGTTGGACTAGGTGGCCTTTAGAGGTCCCTTCCAACCCAATACATCCTATGATTCTGTGATTTCTCAGCATTTTCTGTCAAAGCTGTGCTTGAGCATATTGTTTTCTACCAGAAACTTTCTCAAATATTTACTTATTAAAGAACTTTTCTTTGTACAGTATCTTATACAGGAGGGTCATGGCACGTGCCCAGAACACTGGCACTACAGCATTACAAAGAAGGGATTTATTTTAATATATAAATATCAGTGCAACCTTGTGATATCCAGAATACAGCCTTTTGAAAGAGCAATGAACCAGGTATTTTAAAGTCGAAAGCCACCTTAATTATCCACTATTTGAAAAGAGAGCACAATACCTAATCAGGTAGTGCTCTGTGAAGGTTTGTTTATCCCTTTGCTGTGGAATCTGGGGGTGTGTTCATGATGTATGGGTTGAAACAGTGCTGTCCCCACCAAAAGCAATGAGCAGGGTGTTCCTGTGGCTGTCTGTTGTGGCTGAAGGAAAATGTAAAAACCGAGGGTGAAGAGTGTTCATACAAGTGCCCTTGCTGTTTGCATGCCTTGAGGTCAGAGTGTTCTCTGTTCTTCCTGTGTCAGGAGGACACAGGCAGCTGTGGTGCTGTGTAGCAGTTTCACTGCACGGTGTGGAGTGGCCACGTTTGGAAATCAAGCAGGGAAGGGAAACAGTCCAAGGTACCAAGTATTCCTGCCAGGTATGAATTTGCAGGAGCAAGTCAAAGGAGCTGCGCCGTACTGGCAGATGTTTAATTGGCAGCAAATTTGGCTCAAGAGTTCCCAACCCTGAATGTACATCTCCACGCTTTGAAGTGGGTGGAAAGCTCCTGCTGACTGTGACGAGCTTTGGGCCACACATAGCAACAGCTCCCTGATTACCCAGCAAGACCCTGCAAGGGCAATTCCCTTTAGTTATGCTGTAAAAACAATACTTTGAAATAGATGGTAAGTATTGAAGGAGAGGTGAACCTAGTCAAATTTAAGTTACATTTGGTTCCTTTGTCTGTAAGCTTGTTTCAGGCAGCTTTTTTGTGTTCAGGAGCACGCCTGCATTGGGCTTCTCTCTTCTGCTGCTTCCCATTTGTTCCTTGCCTCCTTTCATCTGCTTAGCTGGAAAGCTCCACTGTGTGAGCAACAGCCCTTCTGTATGTCTGTGCAGTGTTTGGTACGATAGGAGTTATAACCTATTGCATTAGGAGTTACAAGAGTAACATATTCCCATTTTAAAGCCTAAATTCCTAGAAGGCAAAGGTAACACTGAGGTACCACTGTGTTTGACTCTCATGCCTTATCTGTTTTGGATGTGGTTTCAAAGTGAAAATGGAAAAGAGCAGCTGATGTGACCAAGACATTAATTTCTCACTCCTTCTCTCCCTCCCCAGCACTTAAATTTAGATGTAGCTCAGACTGAACCTGTGTCTTGTTTTGGCAGGGATGCTACAGAATGGAAAGAAGGTTGATTCCCCCAGAGACAGAAACAAGCCTTTCAGGTTCAAGATTGGCAGACAAGAAGTCATTAAAGGATTTGAAGAAGGTGTCACACAGGTACAAAGAAATGATTCAGGCAGAACTTGAAGCTGGCTGAAGGGTGTGTGAGCACACCAGTGTCCTGTGCAGTGGTGACCAAACCAAGTGGAAATCAGAGAGCAGGATAGAATGATTTTCTGAAAGCATGGTCCATGTGAGCACAGCATTTCCTCTAGTTCACCTCTGTCCACCTGGTGATATTCCCTACTTGTGGGGCTTTCCATATGATGTTTGGGAGGGGAGAGGTGAAGTGCCCTCCCTGGGTGCCAGTGTGCCACTTAAACCACCTCCCTTTCTCATGGGCAGCTCCACAAAGAGACAACAGTGGCCTCTAAAAGGTTCCATGAGGCAGTGTTTTATGGAGTGGCATCTATTCAGCTACTCCATAAAAGTCCAAGCTGCTGTTCTTGATGACATCCCTGACTGAGCTACAGATTTTGACCCTTACTGAATAAGGTACCAAACTGCACTGTTAAATTTTTATGACTTCAGGGTCCCAGGTACAAAGCTTAACATTCACTTTTAAGCTTTTCACTAAGCTCAGAGAAGCTGCCCTCCATTAATTACAGTTGGAGTGCCAAAACAGTAAAATGCTAAAAAAGCCACACACTGCAATTTGCTGCCAACTCTTGCCTTTTGTCTGCATTGCTGTGAGGGCCCACTACGTGAGGAGGGTGATCAGACTGCTGGAGTGCAAGAGGGAATTAGAGCAGGGTGCATATTCCTCATGACTCCCCATTTCGGGGTCCTAGAGCTCGGTGTAGAAAGAAACTGCTCCATTATTCTAGGAAGAACTATAAGAGGAAGAACTTCTGCTTAGAGAGAAGGGAAGGATGCAAAATGAGAAACAGTCCACTGGGGAATGATGCTACCATGTTTTTCCAGAGAGAGATGGAAGAGAAAGTAGTTTGCAGCCCCGTGGAGAAGGAAATGCAAGTGTTCCCTTCTCTCCAGCCAGAGGAGAAGTCCATCTGGGGAATCCTAGACTGTGAAAAATGCCCCACCTTCCTGTCAAGGGTTTGAGCTGAACTCTGTTTGCTTTGCAAACTAAGAATTCCTCACCCGTGGTTAGAGTGTTCTAGACCTGGGGTCTTAGAAACGCTGGTTTCTAAGCCCCCAGGTGCTGTAGAAACCAGCAGCCAGTGCAGCTAAAGCTGTGGCAGCAGGCGCTGGGTGACCCCTCCCGTGGCTGCTGCCCCCGCAGTCCCTGTGGCAGGCGCTGTCCTCCTGCTCCTCCTGGTGGATCACTGTCGGAATTCGGGCTTGTGCTTCTCTCCCCAGGGTTTTGGGTGGGGGGGTTTGGCGAGTGTGGTTGACAGGAGACACTTGATAAAGGCCGTTCACCGTGGCTACCATTGTAGATTTTTCAAACCTTGGTTTAATGCCTCTCAAATGCCAGCAGCATCTGCATTTCTCTGCTCAACTCCTGACAGTTCAAGGTTGCCCCATGCCTAAAACCCGTGTGTGGCTTACCAGCTGTCTGCCTTGCAGGCCCTGTCAGAGCTGCAGCCAGCCTGCAGGGACCAGGGGAGGTCTCTGCTCCTACATCCTCAGCCCCAGGCTATGAATACTCCCTCAGGGTGGGAAAATCCACATTCAGGTTTTTGTTGTACGTAAAATGATGAAAGCTTTAGCTTTGGAATCTTGTATAGGACCTGGAAAAAAAAATCAACAGGAGATACTGCATAATCTGTAGTCCAGTGATGTGTCCAGTCTTGGGAGAGAGGTCAGGGTTGAATGACTGCTTCAAATCAGGGGTTGTTTCTCGGCCAATGAATATTGAGTCACCAGTGCATAGTGCAGGAATAGCAGTTCAAGAGTTCTCCACCCAAAAACTCTGTTGGAAGAGCAAGGGATTTGAATCTTGATGCCCCAAATCTGGATGAGCGCTGTTACCTCTAGAGCTTGTCTGGAGTGGGAAATCAGCACTTCTGTCCCTCACCAGGGACAAGGGTTCTCTGCAGACAAAAGCAGCACCTGGGGTGAGATGTCTGCCCTCAGCTTGTGCTGAGCTTAGGGAAACCAGCACCTCTTCACAGTAGGATTGCACCAGGGTTTGCTTTGCTCCTGCCCAGCAGAAGAAAGTTGGGTACCTTCAGTGTTAATGTTTGAGAAATGGTTTGGAAGTCATCCCTGGTGGTGGCTGAAGAAGAAAAAATGTGGCTGAATGCTCTTCAGAAGCTGAACTTAACTGTGTTTCAGCACTGGTCTCTCAGGAATGCAAAGCTCTGGTCCTGTCTGCTCCCAGGAGCCTTTCCCTCACGCCCGCCGTGGTTTATGTGCACCCTGGGCTGGGCAGAAGGAGCTCATGCCTGCGGCTGGCTCCAGGAGGCAGGAGGGACCAAATCATGCCCTAGAAAGCCTCTGTGTGACTCCCAGACTGGCTCTTGCAATGTGCATGTCTGGGAGAAGCCAGAGGAGTCAGGAGACCCACGTTAGAGCTGTTTGTGGCAGCTTCAGCATGAAGCTGAAGGACGAGTGTGATGCTCCCAGCTCCCCTCAGTTCTGTAGAGCAGCCACGCAGGGATCTGTGCATCCTTTTCCTCCTCACACCAGCTTTTGGGTTTTGTCTTCTCTTTTCCTGTCTCCAACACCCCAACCCCAGATGAGCTTAGGACAACGAGCGAAGTTGACCTGCACACCTGAGATGGCCTATGGAGCCACGGGCCACCCTGGGGTCATCCCTCCCAATGCTACTCTCCTTTTTGACGTGGAGCTTCTCAGGTTAGAGTGAATCTTCTCGGGGGAGTTGGCTGGAGACATCTGTTAATAACCATCCCTTCGTTCTCACCTCGCCAGCAGTGAGAAATCCTCCCTGGAGCCCCAGCCTGCCCTGCTCAGGCTGTCCTGTCCGTAGTGCCTGCCCTGGGGTTCCTCACACCTTCCTTCTCTTTTTTAACTTCGTGGTGTCCGTATCTGCCTTTTGTTAGAAGCTTTGCTTTGGGAAGAATGTCTACTGTTGTAACATTTTCAAGTTGTACATTTTATTTAATTTGCATGTAAGAAGAATTCACGGTGACGACTGAAAATATATATAAATATAAATATATATATATTCCTTATTGAAAAACCACTGCCTTACTGTACACTTAAACCAAGAAGAAAAAAAAACAACAACACACAAAAGGTGCTCACAAGGAAAATCCAATGTACACCTTGTACATGAAGGGGCATTAGCCACACAGAGTTACCTGCGCTGCCACTTTTCTCAACTTGTACGTTCTGCTTGCTGCTGTTTTAAAAGATGCTGTCTCATTTAAGAATTAAAAGCATATATATATATAAAACCCAATAAAGTCTTGATTCTTTACAGCTTCTATTTCTCGTTTTTCTCCTCTGGCTGCTGGAAATCTTTTTGGTGTATAGGAAATTCTTCAAACAATCATCAGTTGGTTTTTTTTTTGGTTAGTTAGTTCTCTTTTTACATGAAATACATGTAATTCCATGCACTGCTTCTGTTCTAGATGGCACAGTGGAAGATCTCTGAGGGACCAGAGGTACCAGGAATATGCAAAAGGCTGCTAGGACAGGGAGGCTTCCTCACTCTCCATCTCCCCTGCTCTGCTGGCAGTCCTGCAACTCTGGCCAAAATTTGACTGCTGAAAAAAGTGATGCTTCTCAAAGACATGCAGTGCTGGTCCAGTTCTGTGCCTTTACAACAGCAAAACTCGTGTAAAATCTTCTGCTGGAGCTGAGAAAGGCTAGAGAGGAGCAGAACCATGCCCATCTGAGCTGCGGGGTGAGGGGACCTCAGAACGCACCAGGGGGGTTTCAGGCCACATCTTCTGATCCTGTTTACATAGCCTGCAAACTTACTTTGTGTGCTGGGCTCCTGGCAGGTGAGAGTGAGCAATATTTATCTCATCTGATGGTTCTGTGAATGCAGGAAATAATTCTTCCTCCCCTGGAGACAGAAGGATGTGTAGACTCTCATTTACCTGGTTTTAGGAGCAGGACCTGATCAGCGAAGCTGCCTCTTTCTTCACTGTTATTTTGCTTTGCCTAAACTTGATTTTTCCCCTCTGCTGTATTAAAAAAAAGAGCATCACTGGGTCACAATGTTGTTTAACTTGACTAAAAAGTATTTGCATCATTTTCAGCTAAGGGATTTTTGGCTGGCAGGATCTCAAGCAGCTGGTGAGCGATTTCACGTGTGAGTCTGTAAGGAGAACACACCTCGCAGGAGCAGACAGAACACAAAGCTAAGTAGGTATCTCCTGGTGATGCCTCCTGGAGGTGAGAGAGGAAAGGAGCACAGAAAAGCACGGCCAGCAAGCTGGACAGTGACTGCAGCTCACACTCTTCTGTCTCTAGCTCTTCATTTTACCCACAAAGCTGCATTTGAGTTTGATAGTAAGCCCATAAAACTGGTCTTTTTACAGACTGTTATTCACTTAGGGTTAAATGTGGAGTAAATGTTTTTCTTGCTCCCCTCTCTGTAAGGAAAGAAAGGACCTTTCAGGACCCCTTTTCAGGGGAAATCTGGGCTTTCTTGAGTGCCTGGAAAAGCCTGTAAAACCCTTCACACAGCTAGCTGGTGGAGCTCCGTCCCCCATCACCCTTTCTCTGCAGAGACCTTTGTAAGAAGCAGAGATTATTACATTTTCCATGCCAATTTCATTTAAAAAAAAAAATATCTGAAAGGAAAGCTAATTGTGCTTTGTGATACTTACTTAGGGAAATTAAGTCTTCAAGGAAATGTAATCTTTAGCTCTTTATTTGTCTGCAAATGCATTAATTTATTTAATTGTATCATCGATCAACACAATACATATCATTATTAGCACTAGATAATGGATTGGAAAAAATTTACTGGCATTGCCCATGTAATCAGATATGCTCTTGTTAATAATTTCTAAACAGCATCTGTGGAAAAAAAAGCTGACCTTCCAGGCTTAATTTCACACCCTACTTCCTGAAAAATTAAATGGGAAGTGAGCACACACAAAAACCAGCACAGATGCGGGGCGTGGGGCTGGTAACATCTGCCTCGCTTGCTGCCCCCTCTGCCATTCATGTAACTGAACTCATTTCCCTGTCCTTTGATATTACATTTCAAACAAAGTCCTGAGCAGACCTCATCAAAACCATCCTCCAGGCGTTCGATTTCCGTTCCCTCTGTCTTGCAGGTACAAATTATTATTTCATTTTACATGCGCAGGGACGCTGAAAGCCCCGAACAGGCACTAGAAGGAAACTATGAAATGGAATATTTAATGAAAGGCAGCAGCTGGGCTCTCGGAGAAATCAAAAGCTGCTGATCTTGAGGATTCATTGAAGGAATTTTTATTAATCTTATTACCCTAAAGAATTACTTTTTATGTGTGTTTTTCCAACAGCATCAAATCCTCCTCAAAACAGAGGCTGCGGCGCGAGCCTCGCGCGCTCGGCTGTTGACAGAAGCAAGGGGCTGTTTGCACTTCACTTTAAACAGGGCTGGCAGCGTGTGGCACTGCCATTAGTGCTTTGATATTTCATTATTATTTATTAAAAGCATAAATCCAGCATGGTATCAAGCAGCTCCAGTTCCCATTACAGCCAGGAGCCTTCTAAAGGCCCAGCAACTGCTGCAAGTAGCCCCAGTCACCCTAGTGTTTGGGTGTGTGTGTATCTATGTATGGCCCATCACCCATTCCACACAGCTCCCCGTGGCCTGCAAGGCTCCTTGCTGCAAGCAGCAGCTTCAGTTGTACACAGGACAGAACTGTCCCTTCCTACACAGGGATGGAAGAAGGACAAGGCTTCTTACCACATGTGGCTCACTCCCATCCCAAATCCCGTCTGCAGCGCTGCCAGGGGAACACTCCCTGGTCAGGCACAGGATGAGGTTTGAAACACCCACCCAAAATCACACCTGAACCCTGGCAGCTGCCTCCTCCCTGCTCCTCTGGGCTGAAGGAGGCAGCTCAGTGTCACCATCACCCTTCGTGCTCCTCCCAGCTGATAAAGGGCCTGTGGCAACTGCAGGGGACCTCCTGTGTCTGTGAGCAGATTCTGGTACCTGTGGTGGGCATCCTTCCCCCCACAGGGGTGCTGAGCAACCCGGGATGCTCTGCAAGTGCTGACCTGGATCACAGACATCAGGTGCTGAGTGACTTCCCTTCTCACAGGAAGGGCTACATGCAGAACTAGCACAGCAAAAATCAAGCCTTGACCAAAAAAGACAAAACTATGGAGACATCATACATTTATTTTTTCACCGACTGGACCCAACAGCATGGTTCTTTAAGTGACAGATGTCAGCAAAAATCCAAGGATAAGAAAATGGAAACATTCCTTTATGACACTATAATGCACTGAAAAAAAAATTAACTGACATTACAAATCCTCAGGCAAAGTATCTTTGCATCTGCCCATGTTCTGTACCCACTGGAAATAATTGGTCAGGGACTTAAGCATCACATCCAAGGAAATAAACCCTCCTGAGGCAGGACACTGCCAACGTCCACGTGACTTCCAGCTGGTCAAGAAGAGAGGCAGAGGTTGTTCTTTCCCACTTCTAAAACACACTGTTTGTGCCTGCTCTGTATCACACTGGTTTTTATTCAAAGCATGTGAGTGTGGCAAAAAACAGCTAAAAATTTAAGTGTTTTTCCTCCACTAGATGCTACATCTAAAAATTTATGTAGACAAAAATATATGGCAGTTTAAACACGCTGAGTAGAAAACCTCACTCCAGACATCCAGAATCCCCATCATCTGCTGCCTGGCATGGGTCAGGTGTTGCTGCCTCTCAGGGAAAGGTGTGAGGTGTGCTCCTGCCTCTCCTGCTGCGCCCAGCACGCGCCTGGGACGGGGCCTGGAGAGCTCCAAAGATCTCCTCCACCCTCAGGTCAGCCCCGTGCAGATTATCTCACTGCAGCTTACCGGGTGTGGCTCAATCCCTGGGAACAAAATAGTTTGACTGAAGCCACCTGAGCAGCTGGGTCACTTTAAAAGGCCATCCATTTTCTGTTGTCTGTCAAAGAAACTGTTAGGAGCAGAGATTGAAGCTCGCTTTGTTCCTAGCAAGGAGCAGCCCAACGCTCCCCTGACAGAGGGGGGCTGCTCCAAGCACTCCCAGAGGGAGAAACACCCAATAATTCCTGTACAGTCTACAGGCACGAGGCAGTCTGGAGCCATGTTCATTCCTGTTTAAAGCACAGCAACCCCTGCAGCAGGGACACGAGCTGCAGCTCTCAGTCTTCAGCAGTGGCAAGTGAAACACAGCTCTGTGCAGGCAGCTGCAGAGAGCCTCCAGAGCCCTCTGGGTTAACTGGCTGCCACGCTCAAAACCCCAGTGGATGGAAAAAAACCAGTGGATGGAGACTGGGCACAACTTCAGGTGTGAAACACTCCAGCAGCTCCGTCCTGTCTGCAACAGGACTGTGGCTGTGCAGCAGTTACCAGGTCACACAGAGAAGCCAGCTCCATTTAGGGGGATTTAACCTTAAAGCAGATCTTCCAATGTTTAAAATGTATTTAATTCTAAAGTGGAAATCTAAAAGTTCAACTTACAGCTTATCAAACTTTTTTAAAAGAAGTTATACTTCACTGAGAATTCCTACGTTCCCTTCAAGAACTCAACAGCAGAGCTTGAAAAGCTTTCCAAAAAGAGCAGTTTATTTTGGTGGGTCCGTATTAATTCCGTATTTTTCCTTGAGAAGCTTAAGCTGTTCCTCTTTCTTCTTTGTGTCCATCTTTTGGAATGCCTGCAATTCGGAAGAGAAGAGAGGTGAGAAGAACAAAAAAATCTCATCTTGTGACACGTTATTTCCCAGTACCTGCACCCAACATCACTATGAACAACATCACCCACAAACAGTGTTGCTTAATTCTGGGCCTCGGCGAATGCCACAGCACGAGGACACTGCCAGCTGAGACCTGAGAGACTCAGCTGAGACCTGGAGACCTTCCAGCTGTCAGCAGGACCTCACATCCTGTTGCCATGGAGCAGTCCTAAGGCCTCTGCTTCCTAAAGCCTCTGCTTCCTCCCCCACAGAGCACACTCAGCAGAAACACATTTGACAAACCCTTGCTCCAAAAGTGCTTTTTTTTTTTGGCACACAAATTGCCAAATAAAGACAAAATCTTCAACTTCTCCAGCCCGTTCCCTCTGCCTGCTGGGATTTCCCCGCTGTAGGGGAAAGGGACCTGGGGGTCCTGGTAGACAGCAGGATGACCATGAGCCAGCAGTGTGCCCTGGTAGCCAAGAAGGCCACTGGCATCCTGGGGTGCATTAGAAAGGGTGTGGTTAGTCGGTCAAGAGAGGTTCTCCTCCCCCTCTATTCTGCATTGGTGAGGCCACATCTGGAATATTGTGTCCAGTTCTGGGCCCCTCAGTTCAGGAAGGACAGGGAGCTGCTGGAGAGAGTCCAGCGTAGGGCTACAAAGATGATGAGGGGAGTGGAGCATCTCCCTTATGAGGAAAGGCTGAGGGAGCTGGGTCTCTTTAGCCTGGAGAAAAGGAGACTGACGGGTGACCTCATCAATGTTTACAAATATGTAAAGGGTGAGTGTCAGGAAGATGGGATTAAGCTTTGTTCAGTGATGACCTGTGATAGGACAAGGGGTAATGGGTGCAAATTGGAGCATAGGAGGTTCAAGGTGAATATCACGAAATATTTTTTCCCTGTGAGGGTGCCGGAGCACTGGAACAGGCTGCCCAGAGAGGTTGTGGAGGCTCCTGCACTGGAGTCATTCAAAACCCGCCTGGACGCCTTCCTGTGTGATGTACTCTGGGTGACCCTGCTCTGGCAGGGGGGTTGGACTGGATGATCTTTCGAGGTCCCTTCCAACCCCTATGATTCTGTGATTTACTGCTTCAAGGTACCCAAGCAACCATCTCCTCAGGCTGAGCTCTGCTTTGTGCCCGCTGTGTTGGCGGGTGCCTCGAGCCCAAGCCCCCGGCGTACGCACCCTGTTGGCGTTGTAGTACAGCACCACGAGGTATCTGTTGCACACGTTGAACCCCGAGAGGTGATCACAGGCGTTTTTGGCATCAAAGATGTCTTCGTAGACCACGTAGGCTGTTCCTCTCGTTTCAGGAGTGTTCCCACTGCAGAGCAAGACCAGTTTTAACACTGAATTAAAGGAATGGGAAATGGTTCTGCTGGTCTCGAGCAGGGACTGAGATAACTAATGCAACTTCACCAAAAAACAACTGACTGTCATTTTTTTTCTAGATACTGAAACACACCCCTGCTTCCCACACCCACCTCCACCTACAGCCAGAGAGGACAGCAAAAGGTGACAGAGCACATGCTGACTACTTCAGGGGACCCTGCCTCTCCCTGCACCTCTCAGGAGCTGCTGCTGCTGGGGGTTGGCATGTTTCTGGAAATAATTAATTTAGCTGGTTTTATTTAATATTACAAGGCCAGCCCGTCAGTTAATGGCTGTCTGGATCAGATGTCTCCCTGGGATGGAAGATGGCTCTCGGCACATCACAAAATCAATTTAAGAGTTAAACCAGCCCCCCTGGTGTAAGTCCACCTCAGAGGCATGCTGGGCACCTATCGGGCCATCAACCCAACCTCCCCTGCCTGAGGGGCAGGAGCCACCTCTGGACACATCAGGCTGAGCAGCCCAGAGAGACTGCAGAGCTCAGGTCCAAGAGACAGGCAGGCACAGCACCCTCAACCACCCCTGTGGTGCTCACCTCTGAGCACTCCTGGGGACAGATGACATCACACGTGGGGTGTGCACAGAAATGAACAGGAGAAAACTGCCCCAAGCAGAGAGGTGCCCACCAAGGGACCCCCACGGGGGCTGTGAGGCATGTGGGTTGGCTGCTCTGTGCCTGCAGTCCCCTGTGGGGCCACGGCCCAGCCCGTCGCTCTGCTGGAAAGCTCCCTGACAGCTCTAACCCCTGGGCAGGGACTCACCACCTCCCACGCTGGCACCACCCTCACGTGTTCAGAAACCTCAGACGTGGTTCTCCTTCACACCTACTGGTGAAGAATCCACACCTCTAGCTCTGCAACAAGCTTCTGCTGTCCCTCGCTCCCCTGGCCACCGGCCCAGCCCCTTGTGCTGTGCTTCCCCACGAGTGAAGGATCTCACTGGTGACAAGTTCCAGCTCAGCAGGACGTGTCCCCATCCTTGTCTGGCTACTGCATGCAATTCCCTACCTAAAACTCACTTTATTCTACACCCTGGACAAGCATTTTTAATCACCACAGCTCTGAAACAAGCGTTTCCACTTGGGGCAGTTCAGTTCAGCCTGTTGAGCTGTTGCTGTATTGACATCCTGCAGAGTAAAAACAATTAAACATATCGAGCACTAATTGCCCAGCCCAGCCTTGGAGCCTGGGGAAGTGCAGAGCAACATAAACTGTGAGGACACGTTCTGCTCTAGTCCCAGCAGCAGCCTGGCTGAGAGCTCGGGGATGCTGTGGGTTAGTTTCCCACCACCTGCATAAAGGCAGGACAAAAACTTATCAGATACAAACGACGCTTCCTGTCTGGCTGCATGTTTGCTGAAACAGGACTGAAAACAGCCTCTTTTAAATATTAAACACCAAGTTTCCTTTCCTCAGCCTGCCCTGCCTAAATACTTCCCAGTAGGAGAAAAACAGATTGTCTTGTGAGTGTCAGTACTGCAGCCAGCCCCAGTGCAGACCCCCAGGGCTCCCCCAGAACTCCACCTTCAGGCAGCTCTTCCCAGCAGGAGCTCAGCAGGACACAGCCCCCACCGACTGACTGTGGCTCCACCCACAGCACTGGGGCAGTTCTCAGGGGAACAAGAACGTCAGGACTTGGGTCTTACACACTTCAACTGAGACAAGAGCCTCAGATCTGCTGCAGACACGGGGAACCCCGACGCGTTTTAGAACAAAATCGTCATAGAATCATTACGGTTGGGAAAGACCTCAAAGGTCAGCAAGTCCAGCCATCAACACAACACCACCACGACTACTAAACCGTGTCCCTAAGTGCCACATATACACGTTTTTTGAGCCCCTCCAGGCATGGTGACTCCATCACCTCCCTGGGCAGTCTGTTCCAGTGCCTCACCACTCTGTCAGGAGAGAAATTCTTCCTTATATCCAATCTAAACCTCCCCTGGTGTGACTCAACCCCATTTCCACTCATCCTATCACTGGTTACTTGGGAGAAGAGACCAACCCTCACCTCAGCTACAACCTTCTTAAAGGGAGTTGTAGAGAGCAGTAAGGTTTCCCCTTGGCCACCTCTTCTGTAGACTAAACAACCCCAGGTTCCCTCAGACACTCCTCAGAAGACGTGTTCCCCACACCCCTCACCAGCTTTGCTGCCCTTCCCTGGACCTGCTCCAGCACCTCAACGTCCTTCTTACCCTGTGGTGCCCAAAACTGGACACAGAGCTCAAGGTGTGGCCACACCAGTGCCAAGTTCAGGGGCACGATTGCTTCCCTGGTCCTGTGGGACACACAATTGCTGATACAAGCTAGGATCCTGGTGGCCTTCCTGGCCACACTGCTGGCTCCTGTTCAGGGCCTTTTCTGCCAGGCACTTCCAGCCACTCTTCCCCAAGTCTGCAGCACTGCTGGGGTGGCTGTGACCCAAATGTAGGACCTTGGTCCACTGATCCTGCCTGGCAGCTGCAGGCAGATCACCTTTACAGCCACGGGCTCAGGGCTTGGGGGCAAGCTGTACCTGACACTGCAGAGTCACTCTGCTGTTTCACACTGACAGCTCCAGCAGCAACAGCAGCATCTCTCTTCTCCTATTAGCTGTGTATCTAACACTCTTTAATTATGAAAACAGGTTGCATTCAAGTTTTCTCTTTCTTATTTTGACCTTCATTTAAGGTAAAGCATTAGCTGTGTTTAAGCTTTTTTTTACCTGAGAGGGAAAGTCTCATCCTTTTACCAGCTTCCCTGAGTTCAGGTCGCATTTGAGCTTTCCCACCCTCCCCACGGGCAGTATTATTTCCCAAGGGCCTCGCGGAGGGAGCAGAGAGCC